GCACAGCAATACCCAGCACACCACGCAGGCATTATAACACTGGATAGAGGGAAAAGAGAGCAGCGCAGCATCCTGGACCTGTGGCAGATGCTCTGTGTCAGTCGCAGAGCACAGCCTGCTGATGGGAGCAGCTTAAAATCACCAGCAGGTAACTCACCCACAGGCTCAGAGTTACGTAGAGGCTCTGGGTCTTGACGCAGAGAGGACGGAAAACAGAGTGCGTACACTTACACCCACTTCAAATCTAACTGAAGAGCCACTTCTGGGCACTGCTCCTAAATTAGAAGCAGGCAACTGGGAGGAGACGGCAGAATAGCTTTAAGATTTGAGGTTTGACCACCACTTCAGTTGCTTTGATGCAGGAGGTCAGATCCCAGCAGGAGTCAACCCTAATGTTTGGTAAAGAAAATGCGATCCACGGATTTTACTGCATGCTCCATTTCACCGAAAGTCTTAACCCATAAATCTAAAGCAAGATTCAGATCACAAATACACACATCATTCCTCAAATTGGCTCTAGCCTGCTCCACAAGAACATTAATGTCTTTTGAGTGCTGACGACTTGCACAGATTTGAGTCACTGCACTCATTATATTTGCGTTTTTCTTGAGGAAAACTAGCTCTAGCTCCTGGAGACAAACAACCACGGAGAGCTTCAGCTTCCACCAGAGTGAAGGTGGAAAAAATCTGCTCCTTTGATGGAAGAGAAAAACCTTCGACCTCACAAACCCAAACCAGCGCCCACCATTGTTTTAAGTTTCTTTTTCAAATAAACCTCATCATCTTGCCAGAGGCCATCCTTACACGGTCTGAATATTCAAAAATTGGCAATTATGAGAATTCATCTGCAAACCACTGTAAGTTGGTTCTTTCTGGATCAGCAGAGCTGGTTTCACGTGCTACTCTATGAAGGTTTCCCTTGGATGTAAGGGAGGGACAGGGCCCTGAGAACTGGGCTAGCAGCAGTTTTAGTGCCTGCACAGTGACTTTGAGAAAGAAAAACTGTTCAGAGCTGCAAACCAAGCACCTGCTTCTTGCTGTGTGTGTTCCAGCCGCCCTCCAGCACCGAGACAAAGAAGCCATTCGGACCACATTCCTACATTACATTTCTTATTTTGCCAGACAATATTCACGGGGGTCTGTTTCTCCTCTTCTGCAGGCTGGCAAAATGTTAAACAAATATTTTTGAACTGCAAGAGGAACTGACATTTTAGGATATGAAAACAAGGAGGAAGGGCACAAATTTGAGGACCTCCAAGGAACAGCGTGCATACAAATAATAATAAAAGGGACATTTTATAACTTCACGTGGTTATGTTTTCTGAACAAGCAACTTGATAGCTTGCTTGGTGGATACATCGGCAATTTTCTGCAGTTCCATAACACAAGATCAGATTCAGAGATTCTCAAAGCATTGAAGTGCAACAGCAGCACGAGAAATAGAACATTTCAAGGACTAAATGGATTCAACAGATTGTCAGGTTTAGAGATAAATGTGGTTTGACTGTAAACTACAAGCATCGGGGCAAAAAACTGCTGTCCTCTGGGTTACTATCTTCCTGTTCTTTACTTTATGTAGACCCGTAGTTAGAGGCAATCTTCTACGTGCACCTGCATCGCTTGACTATCTCACAGAGACTCCTTTGAGATTTTCCTCTCTTTATTTATTTATTTATTTATTTTTTTTAGAAGCAAGGATTCCTCCATGAGGGTCTGTGTCCCTTTCCTCAGCTGAGCCCTAGGGTTCCTTGTTTCCACACCGCTACCTTTGATGTCTGATATCGAGCACCCAGAAGTCAAGTCAACACTGAAAATAGCTGACAACTGCTCACAAGCTTTTCATGACTCCCTCCACTCACAGCACAACCTCAATCAAGAGTTTAACTGCACAGTTAGCATCAGGAGACCCCCCAGGTTGGCTGTCCCGGGTTAGTTTTAGTTAGAAATTGCTGTTGTACACTGAATGTCCCCAACCTCCTGCAGAAGCCGCAGGGCCCGATCATATGATGGCATTATTTGGAACAGCAGAAGTGAACAGAGATTCACCAGACATGACTTTTTCATTTCTGCTTCTCCCTCTCCATACCGGCTGCTGCCTACTTCTCCTGAGGTGCAAGGTACAAGGTTTTATAGCTGCTGCTGCCTGCTCATCCCTGCTGCTACCTGCAGCCGTTCTCCTCCCATCCCTCTGGTCCTCCTGCTCCCTCATCGCCCTGAATCCATCACAAACCTCCACAACTTTCACCCAATAGGTCAAGTCTTTTGCTTTGATGTTGCCTGAGCCAAGATAAGGAGATAGCAGCACACACATTAAAGACAACCCAGAAGAGGTACCAAAACAAGACACTCCTTGGTTGAATAGCTCCAACCTAGGGAAAGGTGGAGGATAAACACAAACAGATGCTGCTTATGCCGTTTATAGCTCATCTGAAAAGCTCTACAGCCCCACTGCAACAAAAAAAGTGGGACAGTTGCCTGGAGAGGCCAAAGTCTGAGGAGTGCATTACTGTTACACCTATTGGTGTGTACAAAACAGGTTTAAATTGCCTGACAATATATAGCCATGAAGGAAAAAGAAAAAAAAAAAAAGAGAAAGACTATCAGCAAACTACTTGTTAACATCTGTTATGTCATTTTCTTGTAATTTAAGCAAGCTCCTAGCACAGGTCTAGCCTGATACCAGACCTGACAGACTAATAGCCAACTTGAATGAAACCAACTAATAGCAACGTCCAGACAAGACTACACACATGCAGCAGCATCCTCGGCTTCTCTGCTACATCATCATCTGCAGTAGTCATTTGAAAGGGTTTTCTAAAGCCATCACGAAACTGCTGCTGCAGGCACAGCTTTTCACCTTCCTTTCACCACCATAGAACTACAGAAGGCAGGGATTAAGACTGTTACAATCTAGTAGGTTAGAAACATGACGTATAAAGTCTACTTTTACAGAGCATCTAAATTTGCTTTTGTTTGCTTTCGTACATTCCTCAGAAGCAATTTGCAAACCCTCAGAGCTTCTTGTGGATCCGACACAAAAGGCTCTGGGTTGAGATTTTCAGAGTGCAGCAGGCACACCGCAGACAGGCTGATATTTTCAAAGAGGCTCTGCAAAAAGACGCTCGAGGAGACCCACACAGTTACATTGGAAGAGCCGGGGCTGCTCTGTCACTTCATTGTTCAACAGATTTGATGCTTTTAGGACCAGCTCCTTTGATACCTAATCTGACAAAGCTTCTATTGGCAGCTTCGCTACAAAACTGGGCTGCTTAGTTGCTTTTTAATATTTGATTTATCATTTTTCAGAGAGCACACTCACGATGCCATCAGCCACAAGAGCAGAGCCATCACGCTGAGCTCCATACAGAAAAACACTGCCGCTTGAGTGCTCCAGCGAAATAAACAGTTTGGGGAAAAGGTTAGCAAGAGTTTATACTAGACACTCGCATTTTCTGGGGACTCTGGCGAAGATAAAACAGACCAAAAGGCTGTATTTTCTAACTCAGCAATCAATCCAGTGATCCTGAGCTTCTCGTGCTATGGATATGGTGTTTCTCACTGCTGACAAAAATGGACTACGCGCTTTTCAAAAAATGCTGCCAGCAGAGTTTGTTTGGAAAACACTCAGTATCTACTATCACTCTGTTATATTACAGTAACGATAATCTTAGAGGCTGTAAGACTACTGCTTTGTTCACAAACAATATTACCGTTATCTCTAGGCAGCTCCTACACAAAGCCACGGGGCTCAGACCTTGTAGCAACAGCTCCGCGTTGTGGAACACCTTGAGGTTCAGGTGCTTGAACCTCTTCAAGAAGAGGAGAGGCTCTCGCAGAAGACGTTGCACAGGCTACGTGTAACAAGTTGTAGGGGAACACAGCCATCAGCAGACAGCACAGGAAAAAACTCCCTACAAGGAGAATTTTCCTACTAAATCCTAAGATTGGCTTATGCCCCAAAATATGGGGATTTATATCCCTTGTAAAGCTCTCTTTTAATTTACTATTAATTCTAGAGATTCTTGCTATCCATATCAAATTTCTAATCCTTTTTTCAAATCCCATAAGCTAAGCGCTCTTGGCTTCCACAATGCTTTGTGGTAATAAGTTCCAGAGTTTAAGGCACTGCCTGGAATTCAAGCACAGGGCTGAGAACGAAGCCTTCCCAGCTCCTGCACCACAGCCACTCCCCACCGAGTGGAAGAGTTACCAGGGAGCTACGGTGATGCAAGCAAGTCCAGGTAGCATCACACATTAAAAAATAAAGAGAAAATTACAGGTAGGGTGAATAATACAAATCGTTTCAAGGCTGGTACATGTTTTTCAGGAGTGCCTGCATGACTCTGGTGCCCAAGTCATTTGGGTACTTTTGAAGTTCTTACTCATGTTCTATTTCTATAAATTCCCGGTTACTCTCATGTTACACGCAAACCCCACTCCCCTCAACCCATGTCTGAGACTAAAACAGTGCCAGACCAGGATCTCGTTGGAGCTTGGCTACTTTTTCTATACTGCCCACAAGTCTGACAGGTCTAAATGAGGACCGAGAAGATTGTTCTTGGTACATTCCATCCCCCCCAGTTTCAGCAGTCGTTTTCTTTTTTTTAAAAAAAAATAAAATAAAATAAAATAAAAAAAATGAAGACCAGGCACCTTGCTAAGTTTGGCCATCACCAAAGCACAAGTATTGCTTGACTCTAGTGATTTTTTTCTTCCTGCCAAAGCTACCACGAAGGGGAAGACAAATTAATATCATAAGCAATTAACACATCTTCCCCATCAAAGTCTGCAGTCACACCAAGCTTCACAATCCTACAGAGTACTCACATTATGACACTTAGGTCCCAGGTCTAAGAAGAAAGCCTCTCCAAGCTCCCTTACATCCGAGCAGGGCAGACAAGTTAACCTGGCAGCAAATCTAAGCGGAGCCTACAATTAGGTGCAGTGAGAGCTTCCTCCTGTCAAGCGCTGGTTTCCTTTGATTCCGAAGATTCACTGACCTGTCCTCACAAGCCCTCGGGATTTCTGGCCGTCCGCCTTCACCTCCCGCTTCCCGACTTCTTTCCAGTTCAGTTACCTTTAAAACGAACTCGCTCACAACAGATGTCTGCAACAATGAGAAGCAGGGAAAAAGGCTCAGGCTGCGTCCACACGCCAGCACAGCCCAGGAGGTGCTCAGCAGCCCTACCTGCAGCCGCTCTCCCTCAGCTCCTCGACGTGCAGGCTCTCCTCTTCTCCTCGCCTTTCCCCCTAGCAAAAGCAGCACCGGATCGCAGGGAGCATCAGCGGGATCGAGGAGCTCGCAGCCGCCCCGTCCTGAGCAGAAACCCGCCGGGACCCGGCGCTCTGCTCCCGGCTGCGAGCACGAGGTGGTCCCGGTCCCCCCCTCCTCCTCCTCCCCCGGGACGACCCCGAGCATCCCCGCAGCCCTTCGTCGGTGGTGCCCGGGGCTCAGCCCGGCCCCGGTGCTCAGCCCCGTGCCTCCTCCGCCGTTTAAATGTGCAGGTTGGGGCCCGGCAGGGAGCATGCGCTGCCCAGGGCGGGGCGGGGGGGACGGGGACGGCACCGGGATGGGGACGGGGACATAACGGGGACAGGGACATAACGGGACCGGGGAACCCCCACCCCGCATCCCGGAGTCAGCCCCGCATCAGGGCTGGGGGGTTAGAAGTGCTCGGCTTTTTTCTTTCCCTTTTTTTTTTTTTTTTTCCCCTCCCTCTCCTCTTTTTTTTTTTTTTTTTTTTTTTTTCCCCCCTTCTTTCTGCAGGGGAATTACCCGCGCTCCGAATCGTTTCTTGTTTGCTTTTTAACCGATCTATTCATTACTGGTAATTGCTTGGATTGTATGCAAATGACTCCCATGCTCTGGGAAGCTCGTGACCTGGCCCCCGGACATTATTCATGGTACATGACTGCCTCAAATCACACGGCGTGTGCGCACGAGAGGGGAAAGGCAGGCGGCTTGGGGGTGCTTACACACTGTCACCATCACAGAGCCCCTTGGGGTGGAAGGGACCTGAGAGATCACCCCCTTAACACCCCCCTGCCAGGGGCAGGGATGCCATCCGGACAGCCCCGGGGCAGTAATTGCTCTAACAGTAACTGAACACAAGCAGAGGTTGAGGAAAAAGGAATATTCCTAACTCCTACACAGCCCTAGAGCTGAGCAGCCTTACACAGAACAGCCTTCCTTAAACATCTGCATCAACAAATAGTTTATGTGAACGCTCACTGGCAGGGGACAGTTAAAAAAAGACAAGAATACAGCTGCCAAAAAAAAAGTTGATCTTCAATTAATGCTTGCAAAAGTTAGGGCCAGTTCTTCAGCTGACTGGCCATCAAAAGGCTTGGGTTAGTTTGTACTATTTAGAATTTGGCCAGCTGTTTCGCAATATATTTATCCAGCTCCAGTAGTTGCAGAAGCATTATAAAGATCTGGTTATTTTTAATCTTCACAGGTTCTCTCCTTTGAGCAACTTTGTACCTCTCAAGGTCAAAAATCCCATTTCCCCATCACATTTCAGCTTGGATCAGCAGGATAGTCTTGTTTTCACCGAGCAGCTGCTCCCTCCCCAAGCTTGCTGAAAGGACTCACCCTCCATGGCAAGAGCAGAGGAGCACCTGCATTTATTGTCACTTGAACCGATGAGAACTCGCTCACAGGGGTGGCTGACAAGGAGAAACGACACTCCTGTTTCCTGCAAAAAGTTTTTTGGCACTCTACATGCAGCTAGAAACTCATTGAAATAAATAATAAAATAAAAAAAAAAAAAAGCCAGCAAGCCCTGGAGAGCTAGGCTATGCCTTAAGTTGGTAAAGTGCCAGAGTCCAAATTTGGGTGGGGAGAACTGCCTCTGTTTTCTGCTCAGGGAAGTTCACAAGCAATTAAATAACTATTAGTGCTGCTTTTTTATTTTTTTCTTTTGCACTGGAGCATATGACGCTCGCTAGGTGGATTCCTGAATGCTGTGCCTACAGTATCTGAGCTGGGGGTCAGTGTTGCAGGGCTCTGGTTAGAGCAGCAGCACGAAGTCAAGCTTCCTATTTGCAGCTCTACCTCTGACTCACCGAGTCCACACAAACAGCTTTAAAAAAACAACAAAAAACTTGCAGGCTGTGACAGTGGATGCTCCTGGACTGCCACTAAGAGGAGGCTCTGCTCCTCTCACTGAATGTCACTGCATCCCAGCGCTGCTTCAGCAGGCCAGGAGATCTGTTAAGCTTTGCAAGCCAGAAGAGTGAAAACAGCAGCTCCACATACCATCCACTCTACACTAACCACAGGAGACAGGGCAGGCCATGGGGAGTCCTGTTGCTCTCAGAAGTCATGAGATGCACTGAACATTTACAGTTCTGTGCCCGTACAAAAGAGCCAGGACCTCCTGCAGACGAACAGGGGGCTGTGCAGCTCAGAAGTGGTGCTGCAGGCCGCAGGCAGGGCTCCTCTCCCTGCAAACAGGCAGGTAACATTTTCTACAATTACCAGGCAGAAAGTGGGTTTCACTACGTCTTACCAGACAAGGAGATTCTGGGTCATGCAGAGCAGATTAGGACAGCTGATACTCTGCTACCTCAAATACGAGGACGTTCACAGCTTCTCTCGGATTCCTGGTGCACTGCCCAGCAGGCCTGGGGAATTTCCCTTTGGCTGAGGAACTAAAAAGGTTAGGGGCTACTCAGATATTTCAGCCTCTAACACACGTGAGACAGAGTACGGCGGTAGCACCCCGGTGACAGCACTCACAGCTGTGAGCTTGCAGATTTGGGTCTGGCAGCCCCCAGTCCAGCAGGGACAGCTGCAAGGGCAGCTGCCTCCCTGCACTGCCTCTGGCCAGCACCCACGCAGTGTGCCGGTTTCCAAAACACTGATGCTTGCCTACAGTCTGAGATAGAGCCTTCTACTGTCATTTCATAACCATCACCTTCACAGATCTCACATCTACCTGAAGACAACTCCCCGCAACAGAGCAAGATGGGGTGTGAGAGGCCTCGACATTTCTTATGTCTGTGACAGTCTCCCCATGTGCTCCTCCAACTTACCCACCAAGCAACCAAGGATTCTGGAGCACATCACATGTTTTCCTGTTGCAGGGCTCCATGCTGACAGCTACAGAAGACCCCAGACCTAGTTCACAAAAACACTTTGGCAGGGACCAGTGGGATCATTTAGCCGGATCAGCAACAATTAAAAGTCAAACTTGGGTATGATTTCAGTCGATCCAGTCTTAGGCTTCTAAACGGACCGAATCGCTTTGCTGAAGCAGAACTAGGAGGTTCAGAACATCACAGGGCTGAGCCATCATAAGAATCTGAAAATCAGATTAATTTATCAAAAGGGGGAAATACAGAGTCAACTGCCACCTCAGCTGTTCATGCCCGATTAGATCACAGCACAGATTTGCCCTAGGCCTTATCTAAATCTCATGTGAACAGCCAAGCAGAACTCAGCTTGTGGTATCTGCTAGAATATTCACAGGGATTAGACACCATCACATGTGGCAAACAAGACAAGGAGCCTGTGAGCAGGAGAACATCTCAGCTTTACCTAGGTACAGGCTGTGCTCTGACAGCTCAGACCCTTCAGCTGCAGCTGCTTTGAGGAAGGCTCAATTCAGGTCTCTTCTCTCTAGAGATCTTACTCATGCTGCAGAAGGATTTCATGGATGCTCTGACTTACCCTGGAAGTCACAACAGCCCCAGATTGGCCAAAGGTAGTTTTGTAGTTTGAAGCCTTTCTTATGTTTAGTTACAGCAAATGCAAATGTGAGTCCCAAACTTGACTGCAGACCGTTTGCTGACTCACAACACAAACCTTTCGCTCTCTGTAAGCCAAGAAAATAAACCCTCAGCACCCCACCCAGGGAGGTTAGGAGTGACTATTTACAGAGCACTCAGATACCAAGGTGGAAAATGTTGGAGATATGCAAAGGAATAGCATACTTCAGTGGCACTTAGTGCTGTTGCCTTGAGAACAAAGATGGGAACTCAAGCTGGACGCTCCAGGCTTTTAGGAGGATCCTTCCTGACAAGTCAGCAGTCTCAGATCTCTCAGTGCCAGTTGGGAGCGATGCTGCCAGAAGATGGACTTTGTATAATTGCATATAATGTACCTTTAAAGAGAAAAAGCCACTAGTACAAACAAAAGCAGCGCCCGCCTGCGCAGGCTGTTTATACTTGAGGTAGCCAGAGCAGGCGGCTGCACTTTAGGGCTTATCTTCTCTCTCTCCTTCTAAACAGGAAATGTATTTTTGTCTTGAGCATTTTAGGAGAAGCCACTAGGCTAGAATTTTCATAACGTGGGGTGCCAGAAATGAGCATTTCAACTCCCCCTCAAGACCTGAGATGCAGTGGGTAGGTACCCAGAACTGCAGGGTATCAATTCTAACCGCAGGGAGGGGAACTGCCAGGGCTGAGGAGCTCGGCACTGCCAGCAAAGCCAGCTCTGCTGTGTGCCAGGGCCCTCCAACACTGCTGCTATCAGCTGCAGGAAAACTAAGGGACAGAAATAGGGCTAGCAAATCAGCTCGTGCTTGCAAAAATGGCCACAGCCAGCACAAGTCGGAAGAAGAGGAAAAACCCAGGGGAGGGAAACTACAGAAGTGGCCTCTTCCATCAGCACTTGGCAACTGCTGGCAGTGAAGTGGTCCTCCTTGGTAGGACCATTACATCTGGCAGCAGTACAGGCAGGCTAGGGGGTGCCAAATCCCGAAGATTAAAGAGAACGACACATGTTCTGGCTTCCTCTCCGACAGCAAATTAGAGCTACAACATCCCACAGGTTTACTATCTCCTTGCTCAGCACTGCCACTCCAAATAATGGTGCAAGCAGCTGGATTCCTCTGTGGAGGACTGCAGGGAAGATACGGTATCAGCGCTACACAGGCTCTGCATGATTTTTGCTCCCTGTTTGCCGTAAATTTCATGAGATTTAGTCTCAAATCACTCAGAATCATGGATTTGGTAAGGTGGAGGTGTTTGGGTTTTTTCTTACCTTTTTTTTTTTTTTTAAGGCCCATTTCTACAGCTGCAGAGAAAAGCTTTAAAACATGACTGGCTACAAACTGCCAAAACCAGAAGGCAATTCCTTTTTATTATCATTATTTTTTAATTAGGAGTCTCAAGACTTAATCTCATGATTTTTGAGACAGTGCAAAGTCTAGCTCGTACTGGAAAGGCTGAAGTTGGTTAGCAAACTTTTCTCGTTGCTCAGGAGAGAGATGGGGTCACTACGTCCCACTTACTGGATTCCAAGGCCTTGCAGCCAAGCAAACAGGCTTGCTCCCTTGTCAAAATCCTTATTGATACTGGAACGGCTCCCACTGTTTGCCACTTAGCGTCAACGTTACTGTTCCTGCCGGCGATGCAGAAAGAAAGAAGCTGTCCGTGGAACTGTGTGTGTACGAGTGTTGCTAAACCGGGTTTGAAATCCAGGCATGTCTGCTGTATTTACAGAGCGCAGGACAAACATTTTAGCATTCCCCCTGCTGTTCCCTGGGCTGCATTCTTAACC